TGACAGTAAGGTAGAACGTGGCTGGATGAGTTATATCATGGCTGCCTGTATAATGAGACACTTCGGGCCCTTGTTACGGTGCTGTTTGGCTTGTTTACCTCACAGACCCGTACGACCACTTGAGTGTGTCTGGTCGCCCAGTGTTTGACAAATGATGACTGATCACAGTCAGACAGGAAGCTCAGTGCTCCTCCGTCCTCCGTCACCTGAATCACAGGACAGCTTAGTCTGCAGCAGCTCATCATTTAGACAGAACACCAGACGCAGCCGGGGAGCAGTCAACCAGCTCACTGTCACCTCCTGACCAGACTGAATGAGTTTTCTCCCTGCAGAGGCCGTGGTGTCAGACCTGAATCATCTCCGTGATAACAGAACATTACTAATACCTACAGGGACCAGTTTAGGGCTAGAACTCGGTGCTGCAGCAATGAGCTTACCATACCTGTCACCTCCCTCCCTCATCTCTCTTCTCTGCTCCTCTGTATTCTCCTCCTCTCATCAATCCCCTCGCCTGCCCTCTCTGGTTCTGCAGCAGAGGAGCGGAACAGACAGACAGCGGCCTAATTGTGATATGTGCAGTTGGGTTGTTCTGCCGAACTCCCACTCCTGCAAAATGAGAATTGAATTAGTCGGCCCGGTGGTTCCATCACAGAGATACAAAAACTACTGGTTGAAGACAATTATACACGGAAAGCCTGAAAGAAAAGGGTGTGGGGGGGGGGGGGGGGAGGGGGGCTGAGCAGAGGAAAGGAAATGTTGAGGTCCAAGAGGTCACGTTGCCTCGCAGTCATATTAAAGCATGTCTTTTGTTGGATAATTAGTAGCGTTTGATCAGACTCTGACATTGTTCATCTAGGTTTAACTTTGAAAACCTTCTGTACTCATAAAGTCGGACACACTCGTTTTTCTACCCCCCCTCTAATAATGGTGTTAATGCCAGTAGGTCAAAATCCTGCTGTGTCTCTGATTTGATCTTTTTTCCCCCCTATTCTTCTGTGTGTATTGTTCTCTGCAGTTAATCATGGGCCTGGGCACCCAGGGGGCAGAGAAAAAGAGTGCAGCATCCATCGCCTGCTTCCTGGCAGCTAATGGAGCAGACCTGACCATTCGTAACAAGAAGGGCCAGTCCCCTCTGGACCTGTGTCCTGACCCCAGCCTCTGCAAGGCTCTGGCCAAGTGTCATAAAGAAAAAAGCAGGTAAACATTCGTTAAAGGAACAGTTTGACATTTTCAGAAGAACACTTAACTTACTGCCTTCCTGGGAGTTGGGAAAAAAAAGATCAATGGTCCTGTTGTACTATTGCTCCATCGTAAAAGTATCTGAAAGTACCACCAGGAGATGTTTACACCTCTGGAATAAAGCCCATTTATATTTAGGGCCAAATCTGTGATCTGTTATTGCTTCTTAAAAAAAATCTGACAATGTCAGAGGGTTTAACATTAAGGTACTTGGTTTTGAACGGTACCACTTCATCAGCTGGTCCTCCTCTGTTTTAGGGCAGCTGTAATGTAGCTGCTTCCCTTGTTGTGCACTGGTCATTCCCCCAGGTCCAAAACCTTGTTTTATTTGAGTTTATAAACCTGTGAAAATGTGTTTATTAGACATTCACTCCCAGCTTTTATCGTCTTTGGCTCGATGTCAGTAAGAAGACAGCACCAGCATCAACACATTAGCTTGTCCTTCAGCTTCTTCAGCAGTGACATCTGAGTAATATATTTTAATTTTCAAGCTACCATGTAAATATTCACTGAATGAGGTGAGAACACAGTGGACACTGGTGTGAGAAGTGACAAATTTGACATTAAATGTTGATGATGTAAACACTAGCTAAGCAAAAAGCCACACAGTGGATTTCTGGCCCGGATGATTCAATCTACACGACCTTTAGTTATTTTACTAAACAAACTCACCCAGAAGTTAAAACAGCCCTCAGGGCAACTGAAACAGTTCTCTGGGTCATTCACTACATTGTCATTATTATTCATCATTACTTATGATCTTGCTGTGTTTTTCATATTCAGTGTCCAGGTGGGCACCCGCAGCCCGTCTCTGAACAGCAACATAGAGTCTCTGGAGGAGTGCATGGTCTGCTCGGACATGAAGAGAGACACTTTGTTCGGGCCCTGTGGACACATCGCAACCTGTTCCCTCTGCTCGCCACGTGTCAAAAAGTGTCTCATCTGCAAAGAGCAGGTCCAGTCCAGGACCAAGGTATTAGAGAGACCGTGGTATCACTGCTGCTCGGTCCTCGAGTAAATGAAAGGGTTTTCTGGCTCATGTCCATACATGCAAGATAACATTTTTTGTTTACATATAAATCACTGTCACATGATGTAAAAGTGTGTGTGTGTTGGTCAACAGGTGGTGATATAACAAAAAAAATCAGCAGCAACTTTATGCAACGTTCACTCCAGTGAAGTGCCGTGATAATTTTTCACCCCGGTGGAGTTTTTATTTCTGTCGTCATCTTCTGTTTCCTTTTCTCTGTACCTCCACAGATCGAGGAGTGCGTTGTGTGCTCCGACAAAAAGGCGGCCGTGCTGTTCCAGCCCTGTGGCCACATGTGCGCTTGTGAGAGTAAGTTCCACGCACTCTACGACTGACGGCATTTCTGAAATAATAAATCCCCTCCTCCAGCTTCTTCAGTCGCGTCGTGTCTTTGTCACTAAGTAGAACGTGTTTGTCTCCCCGCAGACTGTGCCAGCCTCATGAAGAAGTGCGTACAGTGCCGGGCTGTGGTGGAACGCCGCACGCCCTTTGTTCTGTGCTGTGGAGGGAAAGGTATGGAGGATGATGCCGCTGATGATGATGATGATGATGATGATGATGATGATGATGACCTTAGTGAGTGAATCTTCCACACGTTCCCTTTTAATCCCACCACTGTTTAGTTCTCTTTCCTCCTTTCCATATTTCTTCACTTTGCTTCCGCCCTTTTCATCTGTTGCTTTCCTGTGAGCTGCTCATGCATTTAATTCTTATGTTTGTATCACTGTGTAACATTGTTTGATGTTTTGGTTTGTAAAAAAAAAAAACACATTTTAAATATCTTTCTTTGATACAGTTTCTGTAACCAGTCAGCCTCTCAACTCTCCGTCCTGTTTCAAACTAAATCTGACATGTTTTGTTCAATGCATTTCGTGCGGCGGTTCCAAAGTGGGGGGCGGGGCCCTACTGCAAATTCAATTCAATTTAAATATTTCCTTTAAAGACTGAAATGTTATTTTATTGCCTCCATTCCATGAGAGTAGTTGTTTCGTGAGAATGGCATTGTTTTTCACCTTTGGTGGGCTCAACAATACAGTGGATCAGACTAAAAGAAAAAAAAAAAAGAACAGGACACCTAACATCCGCCTAAAAGTTTTGCACAGCACTTCAGATTAAAAACGTTTCATTTTTAGTTGAACTCACGATCCACCCCCCGTTATTCTGTCGTGTTATCCACATTTTTTTGTTGTATTAAAAGGGAAACTGTTGTAAATTCACTGACTTCATCTTTAAGGCTGCATCACTAGTTCACACCTCCTCATGTGTCTCTGACTCTGTCAGCAAATCTGATTCGCATTCACATCCAGTCGTGAAAACCCTCCGACACACGCATACATGCAAAGGGCAGCATCCCAGTACCACCCGCTGTTCATATGTGTCGCTTCAGCCCCTCAGCCCCCATCGGTTCAATATGGTTCCTGTCCAAGTAGTGAGCACGTGTATCTGAGTCATTGACGACTGGCTGATTACACAGTGAGAATCACTTGCACCTCAGTTTTAATTCAGTTTGAAATTAAAGTGTCTCTATTTCCCTTTTCTTTTCCTGATCCCTGATTCCAATTTTCTGGCTTTCTCTTTAGATTTTTTTCCTCTCAACCTCCCTTTGAGGCTGTAGTGAGTAGAACAGCTCCTGTTTTAAAGCCTGGTTTGTTCCCACCATGGTGCAAATGACGCTGACGTTCACACGGCAGAATGACAGCACAGTGGCCTGGTCGTTATAGGTGTCCGAAATAGGGTCGGATTGCGGATTTGCCCAATTTAAATTACGTGCGAAAAGTCGTGTTACCACAGGAACCGGTACCAGTGATGATTCATAGTACATGTCCAGAGGTGTTCAAACAACACTTCATATCACACTGTGAGGCCGGCATCATTGTAACGTAACATATTGGAAAAAATAAAATAAAATAAATATATATACACATATATATAGTAATTATGTGAATTTTGTGGCTGCAGATCAGTTTATTGTGTTCAAATCATTAGTCCTGAAACTTTGTTGTAGTCACGTCCAGAAGATTAAGTTCAAGTTCAAAGAGTTCAAGTCCGTGTCACCAAAGTAACAGTTCTCACACGCCCGACGATTGGCTTGCGTATTCTGTGAAATACTAAGACGTGGTAAATTATTAGAGAAAATGCAACAAAAGCGCTGAGTTCAATTGAAAAGCTGAACAGAAATTAATTAATAAAATAAAGCAAAACCAATGAAAAAGACAGCTTGAAGACAACCGAGAAAAAGTAATTTTTTTTAAAGAGATTTAAAACAAGCAAGTAAAGGATCAGTTCTTTTCACTCCTGGAAGTATTTAGTCTCCAAATGCAGCCTAACAAATGTGTGGTTTCCAAAATAAATGTCATACTCAGCCATACATTACTACATTCTTCAGATCTCTGTTCAAATCCCATTGGCTGACCTCTGTTCGCTGTTACCACGCGT